TTTTCGTGTGAAAATTCTCGATTTTATTATTTATATTATATTTAACTTTATAATGCTATAACTTATTGAAAAGTTTATGGATCCACACAATTTTTTTATGAAAAATAATATTTTTTAATAAACCCTTTTTCATTCGACATACTTTATCTTAATCAGGATATTAATAAGGAACCAGCAGATCAAGTAGCTTTTGGAATAAAACACCAATTTTTTTAAAATTAAACACAATCTAAAGATTTGCATCGAAGAGTTTTTTTTTTGATAGTGAATTATAATCACTGTCTGATATCATTTACTTGATCCAACTATGCCACGTCACCACTGTGCCGCGACCCCCCTGTGCTGGGTTTTTTTTTTTTTGTGACTCGAGATGATAATTTCTTTTTATACAATTTCTTTGTATAATATAAAAATTGCAAGTAAAAACTATAATAAATATATTTTCTCACGCTTTAAGTTAGTTTAAAAGATAATTTCACTTTTTTAAAAAAACTGACTATTATTGGGGAAACTGAAGAATGTTTTGTAAAAGAATTTGCATAGCAATGTATCAAAAACATTTCAATTGTCACAGATAGAGATTTGGCGTGATGCCAATAATATGTATAATAAAACTGTTACTATAGAAAGAAACGTACTATCTCTTGTTTACATTGGTTTTAAATCAAATCCACAAACAGTATATAGTGAAAACCAAAGAATAAAATTTATTATTTTGGGAAATTTGAGTGTATTTCTATACAATAATATTGTGTTTATAAATTATTTTAAAATATTAATTTTACTTACACGTATCTACAGGAAATGTAGAAAATTAAAACTCGATTTAAATAAATTAAAATTCAACTATTGATAAAAATTTATGCTAAAATTCTCCGTGATGAATTCTAGTAATTTTTTTAAATAATTGAAATTTTCAATTATTTCTATACTGATATTTTCTATTGAGTCTTAGTGCTTACAAATAAACTTAAAAAATTTGTTTTTAGTCTCAGTATATAACTCTTTTAATGGAGATTGTGACAGAATAATTGCTCGAAGAAATCACAATTTACAATTTATTTTGAATTTATGATTAAATATAACATTTTTTTGATGTGCTAAATGAATTTGAAAAAAATATTTTTTATATTTGACTCATTTGTATAAACTCGTATTAATCTAATTTATCATGCTAATATTTTATGTTTTAAAACATTAGAACCACAATTTTAAATATTTTGTTTTGTGAAACATTTCTTAATCGTAAGAACTTTCCATATCCATTTTAGCTATTGAAACTAATTGAAGCCAACGATTATGATTATATATTATGATTATGTTAAATAATTGTTTCACGTTTCACAGAACAATATCATATAATTAATCATCTCATTGTGCTAACAAGATAACATAATAAAATTAATTTAAGCAATCAAATGAAGAAATGTTTTACTGTATAGAGATATTTAATATAAAACAGAGTGATTCATTTATCATGTACTACATGATTAATTTGAATAATTAAATGAAGATTAATTGCCAATATTATATCTTGGCAGAAAGAAGAGTACGGCGGTTTGGTAATAACTAGTGATAAAAATAACGAAATATGCGTCTGGCCTACAACCATAACTATAATATGTTAATAACTCCTAGAATGCTGGCCCAAAAGTTGTTATCGACCAATCATTTTCTTGATTAGATAATTATCTATTAAATAAACTAATTAGTTATGAATGTTACCATTTGAAAAAATAATGTTGACACCCTTTTAAAGTATTAACAAAAAAAATACTTTATGATCATTAATGATAATTATGAATCAAGTAATATTTGGTAATCGAAAAATCGTATAACTATGTAATAATATTAAGAAATTTGAATAATTATTTTTACCATAAAGACTAAGTAATATTGATGAAATAATTATCGGTTAGTTATATTTATAGCAAACTAACGTTTTATTTGAAATTTGTTATGTTGTTTAGAATTATCAGAAGACAAAACTTTAGGAATCGGACAAAACGTAGACGATGTCACAGCTATCACCGCCGCAGCAGCAGCTGATGAAGACTTAACCACATTCGACGTTAAATACTTAGGAATCACGCCAGTAGCCAGCGTAGCCGATGCAGTTGCCGAGGCCGTCAAGACAATTTTAGTTTTGGTAAGCATTACCTTATTACATAAGGTTAATTATTAGTTTGCTTGAATAATATAAATGTTTAACTACATCGTGTATATATATATAGGGTGTTCAGTAAGTAAGGAAACGGGTTTCTGTTCTCATCGTTTGTAACAATTGACCTGTTTCCTTACTTACTGAATATCTTGTATATTATTCATATTCAAATTAATACAATAATGTGATACACTCACAATGTACTTAATTTTTGTTTCTTTTTCTTATTAATTTGTAAATAGAAAAAGTAATCATCGCAGCGAATTTTAAATGTCAATGTTACACAATAAGACCCAAAAAATAAATTTAATGTTGTGTTTACTAGGGTGGCGTAGGATTAATTGAGAAATTATACCTTGCCGTATAATTAAAATAAATACACTATGAAAAATATGCATAAAATAAATTGCAAAATCTACAGTTTGTTACAAATTTAAAAAAAATTCAGGTTTTTTTAGACATTTTATGTATATAAAAAAATGTATGCGGGACTAGTTAAAGTAAAAAGTAACTCTAATTTTTAAACTTACGAGAAATAAAACTTTACATATAATACACTTTACGGTCAATAATATTAAGAATTCAAAATTAAAATTAAATTTTTTTTATAAATATTCCATTCCAGGGAAATCATCATGAAGAATTAGACTACTTTGATAATTACGTAATCGTTTTTAATTAAAACAGTTATATTTTACACTAAAAATAAAACAATTTAAATTTGTTATTTGTGATATTTTACCAACATTTTAATGGTCAATTTATTTAAAGCACATGGAGTAAATAATAAATATATTTTTACTTTAAATTATAGTGTTTATTTTTAGGTATAATACAAAATAAAGGGGTTATCATTTAACATTTCAAAGATTGAAAGTATTGCAACAGTCTAGTGTTTATACTTAGCATTTCATCGATTTTTATTTAATTACTCAAATTAGAAAACATTATACGATTCTTTGGGATATATTTTATTACTCATGTGTAACTTGAACAAATGGTTTACCAAATTATATTGCAAATTTACTTCTGTGTTTTACTGATTACTTAAATAATTTCATAATTTTTTTAAATAATATAATCTATTTAAATAATTTTATATCGTCATCGTATAGGCTTTAATGGTAAAATATAAACAATTAATTTTAGTATTGTTGACTGTATTAAATATTTATCAAAATGTGTCTAATATGTATTTCTGTCTTTGTATATAGTAGTTAGTTGGACCTACAATACACATAATTATTCGAAAGTCAAAAAATAAATAATTTTCTATTTAAAAAGTTTATAGAATTTCACACTGTGCATATTTTTAAATTTGTCGCAGTTTACGTGTGTATGATTAAAAAAAAAGCTAATTTTGTCAGTGTACGTACAACATGTCAATGTTATAACAGAAAAACAGAGAAAATGAACATTATCGACTTCATTTAATAATAATTTTATATTATAATAAATTCTATCGAATATGCATATTGAATAAAAAAGTTTATACAGCTGAAAGATTGAATATAAATTAAAACTAATTTTTTAATAAAAGAAAAATATAAATTTTAATATATTTTAAATATTTAAAAAATTATATCATTGGAAAATCCATTAAAATAGGAATTCCCATATTCATTAATTAATGGACATAGAACGTACATAATGAATATTGATATTTGTTTCTATTAATAATATTAATACTAGTAATTTTTATTAAGTATAAATATGGACTCTTGTAAGAAAAGAAGTTCGAAATATGCCATTAATTTTACTTCACATAATTTATATTGTTTGTTTATGGAATGATTTTTGTGTCAGGTAAGTATTTTCAAAGGGAAGATGGATTATAAAACATTATATATGTTCTTATAAAAAAAAAAATGATGAAAGTAAAATTCTAATCATCTTGTAAGAAACGAGATATGAATGATATGCATATCCTTCTCTTAATGAGACAATTAATTAATAAAGTCACTGACATTTGATATATCAACATCGGAATACACAAGATAAACATAGTGTCGTAAGTAATGAAATCTAATAAAAGAAGCCAAATAAAATCACAAACACGTTGTCTATTTTCTGAAATACTTTAAGAAGTTAATATTTCTAAACTAGTGGAATCGGAAGAGTAACAATTATCAATTGTAAATTCATTTTTAGATAAAATAACATCCCTGCAACTTTCGTTATAAGCAATTTCTTATGAGAATTTTTGTAATACTCATTAGATTTTGACAAAAAAATATGAACAAATTTTTAGTAAAAATAAATAATGAGGCCAATGAAATTATTGTGACGTAACGATATGCCGTTCCGAATTGTTCATGCGATTTTTCTACTTGAGACGAATACGCCAAGTACGAATGAATGTGTATACATATATCTATTTTATGCTCATAGTTATGTAAGAGATTAGAGGTATTTTTTTGTCACGGGCAATTACTGAAATTATACACATTCTAGCTGTTATACTGTGTGAACATACAATACAACTATTTGTTTGCCACCATTTCTATTGAGATTAATTACAATATTGAACCCAAACATTTACACGAAAATTATTAATCTAATCAAAACTTACAACCATTAAACGAGTAAAATTTTAGTATCTCTCATAATACATTCATTGACAGGCTAAAAAAAATTTTTACGCAGTTAATAACATTACAATTATACGTTACTTATTATTGTTGATAATAATTATCATCAATAATAAAAATATGTATATGACATAAATTTAAAACTACAGAAATGATCATATGAAATTGAAACTTTGTAGTTCTAATACAATAACACTGACCTATCACTACACTGAACATTGCCAGTCGATCAATGGGTTGGATATGTTATGTTAAGAATGTCGAGATCTCTCATCTGAATGTCATGGATATTGCTGTAACGGTTTCAACCGGTTACTGGTGCTATTCTTATAGACATATTTTATAGGCGTTCGAAAATAGATTATGTGCTAAAATTAACAGTGAAATCTTTCAGAGTTATTGTTATAGTCAACTACTAGTATAGTTGATGAATACCAGAACAAAAAACTGTTTTCGTATTTTGTTCTATTTTAGCATAGTTTGAATTACCGATTTTATTAAATAATCCATGTAAATTAACTGTCATATGATATAACATAATGTGTTTTCAATTGTTTATTAAATTTATTAAGTAGAAAAACGTCATTTCACTTTTACAGGAGAAAGCTGTTTATATTGCAGACTATATTAATAATTATAATTTTTTTAACTCTTTTGTATTAAATTTGCAACATTTTTACATTAATGAAGTAACAATGCAGTTATTAGTTTTAATTTCTAATACTTCAACATAATTACTGTGTTATTGTATTTTGTATTTTTAGAAAATTATCTCCGAGTTTAATATTTGTTATTTAAATTACGTACGTTAATTTGTTCAATTCATAAAATTTTAATTTATTTTTACATTTTAATGTCTTATTATTATATTAATATATTTTAAAATTAATGTCCAGGGTAAAGCAAGTAAAAGAAAACCACAAAACGTAACAGTGTCTTTAAATCCACAAGGTATAAAAGTGACTGACACTAGTGATGAAAAAAACACAGTTTTGGATACTCCCATAGAGAGGTAAATAGAATTCATACTGAATTAATAATTAAATTATTAATAATTCAAAAACGGATGATAAAAATGTCACTTCAAATTGTAATAATTTTCATATCAAACAGATTAGTATATAAATTTGTAATAATATCCTTATTTGATTTTTAAATGAATAAGCCGAAAGAAGCGGTTTAATTAACAAAAGATTTTACATTAAATTATATATTTATATTTTATAAATAATTTAAATCTTCAAAACATTAATTTTTCATAAAAATAAAAAAAAGCTTATAATACTTCGTGGATATAAAAAAAAAAACAATATTTCTTAGTAAATTAAATTTTTTATTCGGATGTTAAATTAATTTTTGTTAAGCATCACTGTTATTATGTATATTAAAGCTGTTTTTTGTTTAAATAATATATAACTCTTATTAAAGATCGTAACTTACAATGATAAATATTTTGAACAGTTATAAATAATAAAGTGTTATCTAATATCTAAAATAAATTATTCACGTGAAAAATCATTTGTGATGCGATGCTAAAGATAGTTGAAGCTTTGAAACTTAAGTTTTTTTTTAATGTTTTGTGTATACTTCGATTACAGGATATCACACTACTTTACTGACCAAAATCAAAATAATGTGATTGCATTCGTTGTCACGGCCAACGGTCAAACCATGTCGGAATGCCATGCTTTTTTATGTGCTAAGCGAAAAATGGTATGAAGGTCATTAATATAATCGTTTAAATTGAATACGTTTTTTTGATCTGTACGAACTAAAATCTTTCATAAATTATTCGATTTAATTGATAATCGATTTTGATGGTATTACAAATTAGATTTTTATTTGTCTATAGGCGCAAAGTATGTTCTTGTCTGTTAGTCAAATTATCAGCTCAATACCTGAAGTTTGGAAAGAGTATGCCAACAAATCACAGAAATTGGAAGCAATTCAGGCAAAAATACCCGAGGCACCAATCGAGCACTGTGTTCAAGGTAAATTATAAAAAAAAAAAATATTATTTTTATACTTAATATTGCAAAATATTGAAAGACAATTTCCATTAACTTTCTATATTTGTTTAATTAATAATAATAATAAGTACGATATTTTACAACTTAATGTCCGAATATTAAATTCTGTATTCTAAAATTCTCAAAATTAGAACTTATGATGTTTAACTTTTTTCATGTTTTATTTGAATGTCATTATTTCTTTTTCTTATCATGAGTAAAAAACTATAATAGTTAAACAAAAATCTTAGTTGATAACTATCATCTTCTTCTTCTTCTTCCTCGCTTTAATCCCAATTACTTGGGGTCGGCCACCCTTATCCCAAACTTCCACTTGACACGATCTCCCACATCTTCTACGCTCACATCAGCTGTCCTCATATCGCACTCAATTACATCTCTCCATCTCTTTTTTGGTCTTCCTCTACCTCTTCTTCCTTCAACATTCATTTCTACAACTGTTCTTACGGCTTTTGATTCGTCTCTCCTCATAACATGACCAAACCATCTAAGTCTATTTTCTCTCATCTTATCCGTGACTGACGCTACACCAACACTCCCTCTTATATACTCATTTCTTATCCTATCTTCTCTAGTCACTCCACTCATCCATCTAAGCATTCTCATCTCTGTTACACTCATTCTCTGCTCTACTTTCTTATCAACCGCCTAACACTCTGAACCATACATCATAGCTGGTCTCACTACAGTCTTGTAGAATTTACCTTTCAGCCTCATTAGAATTCTTTTATCGCATAAGACACCAGACGCTTCTCTCCACTTCAGCCACACACACTTAATCCTGTGTCTTACATCCTCATCAATACAATCGCTCTTTTTCACAACTGATCCTAAATACTTAAATCTTTCCATCTCTTCTATCACGTCCACGCCTATTGTCACTGATCTCCTCATTTCACCTACCTCGTGTTCTTCTTTGTCAAACTCAAACTCTATATAATCTGTCTTACTCCTACTTATTTTTAAACCCTTTTCTTCAAGAGCTTATCTCCACACCTCTAGCTTTTGATTAATTTTCTCCCTATTTTCTCCTATTAACACTATAATGTTAGCAAACAAGAAGCACCACGGTACCTCTCCTTGTATTTCTCTAGTAATTTCATCCATCATTATAGAAAATAAGTAAGGGCTTAAAGCAGAACCTTGGTGCACTTCTACTTTTACCCAAAAACCTTCTGTTACTCCTCCCACACTTTTTACCTTGGTACAAGTGCTATCATACACATCCTCTATTATTATAATGTACCTTTTTAGGACTCTTATTCTCATTAATGTTCATATTATAACCTTTTTCAATAGTCTATCATACGCTTTCTCCAAATCTATACATACCATACAAAGCTTTTTCTTTTTTTCCCTAAACTTTTCTATTAGTTGCCTCACACAAAATAATTGCTCCGTTGTTGACTTATCAGGCATAAATCCAAACTGGTTTTTAGATACCGATGTCTCATTTCTTATTTTCTTATCTATTAACTTTTCCCAAATTTTCATACTATGACTCGTAAGCTTTATGCTTCTATAATTTTCACACTCCTGTATGTCACCTTTACCATTAAATATCGGCACCTCAATACTATTCCTCCATTCCTTTAGAATTTTCCTTTCTAATAAAATTTTATTTAAAAGTTCCTTCAACCATCTTTTGCCAACACTGCCCAATATTTTCCATACATCTACTGGCACTTCTGGTTCTACTGCTTTGTTCTTTTTCATTGATACTACGGCCTTCCATACCTCTTTCCCACTAATTAAATCTACCAGTCCCTCATTCCACAAGATATCCTCTAATGTCTCTTTTAGGTACTCCTCATTCAGTAATTTTTCAAAATACTCTTTCTACCTTTTTTTCACATCTTCATCACTCGGAGTACCTTATTATCAACACTTTTTATACACCTTATATAATGATAATATTTAGACCTTTTGTCTCTTACGTTTGCAAGTCTATAGATTTTTCTCGTCTTCTTTTGTTCCTAGCCTATCATACAACTCATCATACCTCTTAAACTTCATCTTACTGCACACTTGTCTTCTTTGAACATATATTTATACTCCATCCAATTTTCTCTCCTTTGCTCTTCTGTCATACTTTGAATTGATTTTTCTTACTTTCTATCATTTTTAAACGTCCTCATCCCACCACTGGGTTTCCTTGTTTCCTGACATTCTACTCCTACATTCAATTTAAAGAAAATAATAACTATTATTTTAACTAACTTATTTAATGAATCATTAAATTGATTTATAAAGATTAAACAGTATTGATCAGTGTAGAGTACATCTAATTGTACTCTCCATTCATGTTTATCAATCCTTTATTCAATTTTAATAATTTATCATAGTAGACATTATTGATATTTCTATAAAATATGTTTTTGAAGTATAATATTTAATTTAAAATTTTCATTTTGTATCTTATCGATTTGACTTATTTGTGAGTTGCAATATATATATTTGTATGGAAAATAAATCCATATTCTAATAAAATTTTATTTAAAAGTTCCTTCAACCACCTTATGCCAACACCGCCTAATATTTTCCATTCTTCTACTGGCTCTTTATCTGGTAACTATTTGATAACTATCATCATTCTAGGTATAATAACAGTGTTTTTACATCTCTATATCAGTTTTGAGTTACTTACATTAAAATAATCGTAATACTTGCATTCAAATAATCGTTGGTTTTTCAAAATAAGAATTGCTAGGCAAGTTTAATATCTAAAATATTAAATATACCCATAACCTCATTTTATATCTAAAAAACAAGTGCAAATAATGTGTAATTTATTTATATTGAGAGCATAGATAGCACTTAAAAGTCTTAAGTATTTTTATTGTTTCAGTAGCATCTTAAAAGACGTTTAGAGTAATGTTCAGTTATGGTTGTTGTTTAAAATATAAAGATTAAGTTAGATGAGATAAGATTAGATATTTATTATTAAGTAATTTACTGAGTAGTTTGACGAAAACAAGAGAATTGTTTGTTAGTCTCCTAACTTTGTTCCCGGTAATTTGTGTGTTATTAACACCTTTGTACTGCTCAAATAGATAATAATGGTATAATCAGCACGTAGTTGACCAGTGAAAGCGAATATTCAATTTCCATCATAGTCTTCAGCATTATCTTGATCTTATAATATCTATGAGTAATATTACAGTGTAATAATAGTTGTTACACTAAATAATTGTGTAAATACAGGACATTAGCCGTTGAATTGAAGTTGTTGATTAAGTTTGTGTGGTAATATACCGAATTTTGAATTAAACGGAAAAAAATTAACTTATTATTGTTAGGTATAAAATAAATTTCCGGTAAAGATTGTAATTTTATATTATCTTGATATTAAAAACTACTTCATTTTTAGTTGAATGTTGCTGAAACCTTTTACAAATAGGTTTTCATTAATTTCTTGAATTAGAAAGTTGTTTATAGAAGTAAAATTAATTTATGATATCCAGAGACCTTTTTTTAAGATTATTGAGGTACATGATATTCCTCGAAATTAACTAAATAATGCCTCGACCTTATTTTTGTTATTCGCAAGATTAACTATTTGGCTTTACTCAAAATTCTTATTTAGTGCATGTTACATGTTAAACATCAGATTACGTGTGATGGCATTTACCTAAATGATTTACGAGACGTAAAGAGGTTTAGTTAGGAAATAAATTTCACGTGTATCGTGTCTGTAGTAGTAGTAGTAGTAGTAGTTATTACAATAGTAGTATACATTAAAAGTTTCGAAGGTTATGTAGTAAAATTTTTATTGAGCGCGTATATAAATTTATTTCTCAAATAGAATTTAAAAAAAAAGTTATTCCGTATTGTAGAAGTTGTACCATATTTGCTATAAACTTTTAACCTTTGCTTAAAGTAAAACTGTTTGCCTATTTTAATTCATACGAAACAATAAATCATAAAAAAATTGGAATGAATGCGACATAGAAAGTAACTGAAAACTAAATTTTAAGGCGCCTAGTGAAATTAACAAAAATCAAAAACTAATAAATATTTATTTAATTACATGTTCCATATGTCAATTTATATTTACACAATACATTGTGTCTTTTTAAAATTAATAAAAATAAATATAAAAATATTTCGTCAAAATTGTTTTTTCTTTGTATATAATTTTATTGATGATAACGATTATAACAATTTCGATATTTGATTATTTTTTCTGCATTGCAATATACTTCTAAGATTGTCAGGTTAGAAACGGGATGGATAGCCATAATATTTTTTTAAATAAAAAAAGAGTAAAATCAATTAAAACGTAGTTAAACTAAAAATTAGTTTTTAACTAATAAATTGTTTTTTTTTTTGTGTATAATTATGATAACTCGACGCATACATCAAAAAATTTCTATTGGGGCGTTTACTGACAGACATCTTTTTAGTAAATTTGCATATCAGCTCATATGAGTCATATAAATGTTTACCATTTACATAAAATTAAAAACCAAATATGTTTATTTATATTAGAAAACTTTCATCATGTTCACCGACCATATTGTACCAAAAGAAAGTTGTACTTTTAAATTTTGAATTATTGTAAAACCAACTCTAGAAGTTCGCTGATAATTTAGCATTTTTAAATAATTTGTTCAACTATAGCAGAGTTTGTTACGACATTCTTTTCGATTATGTTAAGACTAACTGTTATGAGAAAACACAATAGAATAATTTTACTGAATAATAAAAAAAAAGGTGAATTCCTAACTCATTTGAAAATCTAAACAAATCATTACAATACTACTTATGACTAAATATTAAAGATATTTAAGCTCTATATTGCTACATAATTTTAAGTATAATTGTAGTTATTTAATTATCACGTTTGCACTATTTATTAGTAAATTAAATTTTTATATATTGATTAGCTGACCACAAGTTGTTAAAATTAAGGCGAGAAAAAAGAAGATATATTAATTAGCTGAAAATATTAACAGATGGTTAATTAAATTGAAGTATTCTTCTATATATTTTCTATTAGTAAATAATATGAGATGCATTGAAAATTACTTTGGGAGAAACTATATTAATCCATTAAACATTTACTCTCATTCATTTTTATAAGACAATTTGAATTTTAAATTATCATTTAATTATTTTCAATTCTTTAAGGAAATTGTTTTAAAACAACATCATAGAATAAACAGTATTTTCAAGGTTAAAAGTTATGTACGCTTTTAAAACTTATCAAAAACACATAGTAATTGTAAAATCCATAATTGGCTGAGTTCAAATAATATTGTAAGTGTTAGTACACAATATCATCTTTTCTATTTATACAACATGATATATACACTATCATAAGAATAAAAGTATAAGGGATACTGTATACTTAACAAAAGTATTCTTCTTTGACATTCATTGTTTTATGGATATATGTTATAAAATGTAGTTTCTCTTTTCACGAGAAACGTACACGTTGAATATTAATTGTAACAATAACAATAAAAGTGCAAATGTTTCACAATAATTTAATCACGATGTTTAGAAAAACCAGCTGTTATTATTATTATAATATTTGTAATTACAATTACTAAAGTAAATTTCAATTTTTATCATGTCACAGAAAAATCTACGATGTCAGCACCTCAAAAAAATAAAGAGGTTTCACTAATTGATTTATCCGGAGAACCATTACCCAGACAACAGTATGACACTTCTAGATGGGTAAGTTAATAATATTTGTTTAATAAATGTTATAATTCTATCCCAATTCTGAGATAGTTGACAATTAGACATTCCTAATAAATGAGATTGATAAATCAGTTTTGTATATTTTTAATAATTATTTATTGATATTTGTTTACAGGTATGCTTTGATGATGACAAACCATCTATGGATCTAGAAATTTTACACCAAAGGTAATTAATAAATACAGTACCCATTGTAAAGTGATTTTGTACAATTTTCCGTTTTTTTTTTATTTTGTAGACCTGAGACATTTGCCAATTTCTCACATCATTTTAATCAAGATCGCCAAATGTGTTACTAAAAGATTATTTTTACTAAATTAAGATTGTTCACGATTAGTTCGTGCGTGTGTTATATTATTTTTATGTAATAATTTACTACCTAATCATAACTATTTTTAAATAATGTACTCGATTGTTATATAGCAACCGCTGAACGGCTGTAGCTTCATTTAACTATCAATTTATTAAGTTTTACTCAAAGATTTTTAATGGCATGTTATAAAGCTTGCACATAATATTTTTAAAATTGAATTTTAATTACATTATAATATACCTATATTCGTTTTAGTCTAATAGATTTTTATATTAATGCAGGCATCGAAAATGTTTGTCACTAATTTTTTCTAAATTTTCATACCAATTCAAATAAATGTTAAATAAACAAATATTTTAAAACGCATATGAGTTATTCAGTCACCATTACCTATAAACTCCGGTTTCCTTTTTATACAACAAACAATGCTTTCAATATAAATGAGAGTGAATAAAAAATGTAAAAAAACCGAGTAAGATTATGAATTTTAATATACACTTATATTAATTTAATAATATCTTTAGACCGAATAGAAGAAAATATACAAACTGATTCTAGAACCATTTAATTAACTCGTTTGAATTTAAATGTATTTTTAAACAATGAAACCTCATTTACTGGTGAAAGTCAATTATAATATTCATATCAAAACTATTTCAAAATAATTGATTAATTATTCTATGATTCAAATTAATTTTATATCATTCGCAGATTAGATGTAAAACACAAATATCACAACAATTAGCACTTACATAGTTATTATAAAAAAATAGGTTTTTATACTCGAGACTATAAATCAATTATTATTTTTCTTTTTTAATAGTGTATAAATATATTTTAAATATTATTTAAAAAATTTTCAGGTCTTATATAATGATAAATTATAGACAGTTTTTTGACATTACTTATCAATAAGTTTCTTGAAAAATTTGTAACTTTACATGATTTCATGTAAATATAAATGAATTAATTGATTTTTAAATTAAGTTAAATTTGGAATTTAAATTCAATTTTATGAGGAATATAAAAATTAAACAATAAAACTAGTTTATTTGACCGTTAAAACAATATTGGTGTTATGACACATTATGTAATTAATGAGTGAACTCATATTAATTGTACATGTACTTATACTCTATAAACAATTAAGAAAAATGCATATGATAAATATTTAATAAAATATGTATGTAAAATTACCAACTTATATAATAAGTATTAAAAACTTGATATTATTTTTAAAATATAGAGAAAAAAATTAGAACTAATATGATTTCAGTTAAAAAATTTTCATAATATCTTAATTATTTTAATCTGAATAGTTATGTTCAGCTTTATAACAAAAAATTGTAATTTTTTAATTAAAAAATGATTTTGTCCAGTAAATTAATAACTAAGAATGAAAATTATTTTTTTTGAGATTGGCAATTTTTATTTTATAAAAAGTATTAAAAAAGTTTTCAAAAATTTAATAGAAGTAATAGTAGTTATTGTATAACTACCGAATTTTTAGTTACTTCCAATAATGTTGGCAAATGCAAGTTTTAAACTGCTAAATAAAAAGTTTTAGTACTTTTAGATTTAATTATTAATAGAAGAAATAAATATGTGTTTGTTGCTGATAACAATATGTTAGATGCATATCTGCCTCCATTAATACAACTTCGATGATTGAATTAAACTTTTTTCAGTATTTATTCATAATACTAATTATATTTTTACTACATAAGTTGATATTAAGTATAGTAAAATGTAAATTAATCTTCAAAAACTATGAGTTAATATCTTCTTAAAATATTATTTTGGTTATATGAGATCTCTACAAAGTTATACAGGTATTAATTTTTACATTTATACAAAATCTATGACTAATAAATTAATTGTTATATTTAAATATTAAACAAGTATAATGCAGAAGAAAATTTCAATAGTATATCACATAGTTGATAATAAAAGTTACAATTTTAATATAATTAAAATTATGTATAATAAATTAAATTTGAAAAAATTAATGCTTAAATTTGTACGAATTACAGTATTAAAATAATTATTAAAACTATTTCATTTAATCATTGAAATGTTTTATAATTTAATATCTTAATTACATTAATCTATAAGGCTACAAGTCTCGATTTTGCGTAATTACAATTTATAAATTGATAGATGTGTATTAAAACTGTTCAATAAAGTCTGGGATATTCTTTTCATAAAGCTACCCAGCCTTAATATACAATTTTTCACACTCATATTAAAAAAAAACAACTATAGAGAAATATAAATAATTATATCACAGAATCTCATTGACCCGAAAAGGCCTACCCTAATAATTGTATTTCCTATCCTTATTTGATCCCCAAAATCCAATTTATAAAACATGGTACTACCAATTAAAGTAATTAGAATTTTCCTCAATTGATAATATTTATTACACTTATGTATCCACACACTCAACATAATAGTCTACTTTATACATAGTATATTTATTAAATCATACTAATAATTTACGAACAAAATACCTAAATACCTCTTCATTCAATTTGCAACGAAAATAACTATTAAAAAATCTAAAATTAGTCTTTTAACGATAAAAACTATGTTTATATTGTATATTGTTGATATTTAATTATCATTTTTCCCATAATGTTAAGTATGAATTTAGAAAATAATGACATTTAGTGCTTTATAATATTGAGTTAGCGATTTAATGTAATTTATCAAAGTTTTAATTTTTCTAAAAATTGGTTTTTTTTTAGTTACTCATCTTACCAATTGATTAAATTCTTAGTTATAATGGATATGATACATAATATACAGTTTCCTAGCCTATTATGATTATTTCTATAACTTTTAATACACTGAATATATTTTCAACATTTCAAATTAGATATTTTTTATACTTTTCTTACAAAAAAATTTGATGAGTCAATATCAACTTTAAGATAAGTACTGATTGGGTTACAAGCATTTTGATACATAGTGTGGGTGTATAGCGTAGGTATAGTGTACATTGACTATTATAACCTTTACTAAAAACCAAACCTAACCCATAAAAGTTTTTTGTAATAAAAGGTTAAAAAAAAACTTTAATTTTCGAAAACATTAAAAAATATCTTTTTAACGTAGTTTAAGACTGGAAAAACTTTTTAAAGAAGAAACTAACAAAATGTATTCATGGGACAACAAATTATAGGATTTGTCACAACAGGTTAGGAAATTCTATGTATTAAAAAAATTTTTAATAATTTTTATGATGACGCATATAAAATATACGTTCAAATTATTATTTCAACATGAAATATTATTAATTATAAAATGGAATGTAGAAAATTTACAAAAATTAAGAAGAATATAAATTGATATCATTTAGCATTTTATATGTTATCAGAAATTCGATTTAATGAAAAGTAAGATTTTAAAACATGTCAGGTGTTTTCGAATGCACAATTTGATTACGTTATGTGTAATCTCTACAATATTACACAGTAGTAAATTTAAGGTATCATACTACTAGCAGCTAGCACCTCGTCAGAAGACACGTGACCCTGATTCGAAACACCAACAAATTTTAATCAACTAATAAAAAGGCAAGAAACTTCTAAGATCTAGTTAAAATGTAATAAAAGTAATAAATAATTTAATTACAGATTAAATCATCATGTTAAAAAACAGAGTTTGTTAAGGAGGATCAACGTCATAGACTTTTCGAAATATCCAACGCCACCCTAATGATTTTGTCCATCAGCTTCCAGTAGCCTTAAGGTCGACGAGCATATAAGTAAACAATGGTAGGCGTTTAAGCATTTTAACATGGTATACCAAGTTATTGAGCCCATCGGTTTTGAAACGTTTGTGTCCGCTGAATAGTTTTTCGAATCTGAAAATAAAAATTATAAGTCAGAATGTATTTGAACCATAATGCAATGAGTTTTATTATATTTTAATTGCACTGCAACAACCCGAAAGTTTATTCTCTAGGGCTACATATTGTACATGAAATATCTATGTAAAGTAGTGCAGTATTTCGGCAGACGCCCTTTATTTATAGCTGACTTGTTAGCTAATTTTTAGTATAGTGTATCCTTTTATCGTAGGGTTGCATTAAAAGTTTATCATTAAATTATGAGTAAAATATTATCATGAATAATTATTACAAAAGAAAAACTATGTAACTAAATACGTTTTGGCTTGAAGTTAATAAATCATAATTTATTATCAATTGTCATTAAAAATGAATTATTTTATAAAGTTACAAAAAAAAAGTATTAAACCAAAGTATTTTTAAGTTTTTATTTTATTTAAAATATTCAATGATATAAATTTTGACATTAAATTGATAGTTTCCAATAACTATATTTTAGTTCTTTGTAAAATTAATAATATTTAGGAACAATTTTTAATACTGTAAATATTATGCGTTTGATTACTATGAACGAATGTAATCATAATTATAACATAAAACATTAATTAATAATTTAAAAAAAAGAGATTATTTGTTTTAGAACTTAGACCTTGATAGTTCTTCTATACATTTTTTAGTACCTATATGCTGAATAATTAGTGAACTTTACACATTAATTGTATACAGATTTAACCAAAGGGGAGAGAAATGTCTCTAGAAAGTCATAAAACATGAAGTTCTTAAAATACTTTCGGAGATTCATGCTAAACTTTGTTGTGATATAAAACATTGTAATGTTGTTATTAATTTAAGTTAACAAGTTAATAAATAAATCAATAATTTGTAAAAATGACAAAATAATAAAATAAAAAAAAATAATTTAGTTCATTAGGAAAAAATATTAGAGACAAATAATTAATTATGGAATATTAGTTTGTTGACAACAAACTAATATCTAATAGTAACTAATACTAAGCTTGAAGACTGTAACACAAAAATTAATGTTCACATGAATAATAAGTTGTATATATTTGTGCTGTTATATTTATATGAATAAAATTTTAAAAAGTTACATTCAAAGTTCATGTAATTCAAAAACTAACTAACATTTTCTTTAAATGATCATTTTTATAAGTTATTTTTAAAATTTAGATTAATCAAAGCAAAGACCGCTTAAAATATAATGAAATAGATGTGATACCTCACGTTAATTTGAAAAGGGTTTGATGTAGTTCCACCATCCTACTAGCTTGTCTACCCATACAAATAATATGATAAAAAAGTATACTAAAACAATAATTTTGTTTCAAAAAAAAAAATATATTTTTTATGGTAAATATAATAACTTACAAAACTCAAGATTTAATTTAAGAAAATAATTACTTTAGCTTTACTCTAATAATGCATTTTAGTTTGAATTATATATAAAGAATTTCTATTCAGTTAAATTATTAACTCATTACCAAATAGTCATTAATGTTATAAGAGCTTTTATAAGATAACTTCATAATAATTAAAATGTAAATCATGTTACTCTGTTGAAATGTTTAAATTTTTAATTTAATATATTAATAATTATTCTAAAAAAGACAAGTCAAGAGAGAATAACTAATTATGTGTATAATTAAAATTAATATAACCATAAAATTATAGCTCCTTAACAACGAACATGATAAATTTCTATTACATCCAACTAAATAGAAATAGCCACTCACGAATAAAGAACAACATAATTTAAGTTTATTAAAATATAAAAAATTAAATATATAAAGAAGTTTTAAAATACTGTTTATAATGGGGGAAATATTTTTTAATAATTAACAGTATATTTAAAATCTACTTGGAAATATATTTTTAAAAATTAGAATACTATGTCATTAATTATTATAAAATATTATTATTATTAATATTTATAATTAAAAATTATATGAAATCCTAATATTTAACATTTTTGTTACATTATATATATATGTATAGTATCAATTATATACGTACTATATATTAAAGAATAAAAAAATGTACATATATTACACATGTAACATGAAATCGTCAATGGTTCACTTTTACTATTTTGGAAATAGTATAAATATTTACAACTTTGTTTCAAAATTAAAAAAAAACAGATTAAAATTAATTTTCATTAGGGATTTAATAATTAGTCGATTTATCAAATATATACCCTTAGCATTGTCTGTTACATTGTGTAATTAATAATTTAGGATATAATCTTGCAATTCTATCATTCTCCCTTCACAATAAATTATGTTTAAAACATTAGTTCCTAACTTGTTAACTATTGTACTCGTTACCCATTGGACAAAAGATATAGGAACTTGAGTCAAAGATTTTAGAGAATTTTGAATTGCTTCGTACAAAAATCTATACATTTCAATAAATATGAATACAGATTTAAAATAACTTAATTTGTTCAATGAGATGTAAAATAATTTACAATTCATCGTTCTGTATGAAAACATAACAAAACCGTAATAAACAAATCATCGAAATATTATTTCTCAGATATCGAACTTTATGTTACGCCTTTAAAACACTTTAGCTTGACATACTTTTATATAAAAAAAAAATATAACTAGTAACGTTTTTAGGACCCCTCATAAATTTAATGTTATCGTTACTAAATATCTATAATTTTACCATGGACCACATTAATGTTGAGTTTACAGTCCTCTATACCCTCTGAGAATAATCAATTTTTGTCGTTAATAAAACCGTGTACTAAGCAAAAATAATAATAAAAAAAACAGTTTATTGTACAATGATCTTAAATCTTTTTAGGGTTCTACATTATGCGGTAGATCTTAACTATATCTACTTTGGTAGATAAGTAACAATTTACTGTTATAGTTATTGGCTACGATTTTGTTTAAGTATATTAAATTATCCCATTTATGCAAATGTTTTTATCATACAGGTGTACTATCCAAAATTCAGTAAACAGTTGTACGTTATCATATTTATATACTTATATTAATGTAATCATATGTAGAAATATAAGGATTATAGTTTCCTTTAAATTTTAACCAAACCTATTAAAAATTTAACTAATAAATATTTATGTAATGAATGATAAAAAGATGTTTGATTAAGTTTGAGTTTTAACAAATGTGTATACATAAAACAGTTAGATGAAATTTTATTTATTTTTATCAGAGGTGGATAAATATTTATGAGCTAATACGCATTACGCATTTTAATAGTACAAGTGAATATTTGGCACACTGAAGATTCTAACAATGCTGCTCCCTGTGGTGAAATATCCCTTCCGGAGGTATAAACCCTAGTGCTCCTTTAGCGATAATAAGAATATTGAAAATTTTTAATACATGAATAAGAAAAAAATAATTTTATAAGTTCATTATACATGATTGAATAAAATATTTTTACCACTTTCGTTAATTAAAAACTAATTAACCATATTACAGGAATAAATATTATTTTCGAAGAAATAACTGCAATAGTTGTTTCTATCAAAATGCCTCAATGTATAAAATAGAATTTTGTAAAATATTGTGTTTTATTCATAGAAGACGCATTAATAGTATATATATATATGAATAATTATAATTTATACTAAAAGTCTGGTCATGAATTTTTTTTTTTTTTATAAAACGCAAGTGGTTAGATACAAAGTCTACCATTTTTATAAAAACGTTTACTCAATTCATAATACAATAGTGTGTATAACTAAAACCATTTTTAAGTAATGTTTAATTTATACTTATATTTTGTCATTATTTTCATATTTCATGTGGCCTATGAATAGATTAAGACATTCATCTTTATCAACTTTCAGAGCTTATAAGTTATCCATCCCCTGAATTTCAATTTAAAATTCTAAATATTGCTTGATGTACATTAAATCATAGTGCTTTTCAGTTATGACGTGAAGTTGGAAAGTATTATGTTTATTAAAATATGTTTTTTATTAGTCTATACCTAATAAAGTATAAAAACACGAGAATTTGATAAAATTCTCGCTTCTTATTAGATCAATGTTGTTTGACGATACACTAAAAAATAAAAAATGTCATTTATTTGAAGTTATTATGATAGAAAGCTAAAAAAAACTCTGCTAAACCTTCTTAGCAGAAAATCCATAGAATATAAAAATTTAAGAAGGTTATTTTCGACGAAAAAATATTATAGATAACTATAATTTAATAAAAATATTTTGTGATTGACAATATAATACCATGTATTTCAATAATAATACCTACTTACATTGCCGCTTATTTAAAGTTGGCAACCCTCGTTCATTTTTATCCATATTTCAAAATTATGTGGTAAATCAAAAATGCACGATTTTTTTTCTACATTGGTTTTGTAAAGTAGATCTTTAATTATTCTTTTGGCTAATTAAAAAAAAAAATTGCAACCCCCTGGATCTTAAAAAACGTCAAAAACTAAAGAATAAAAAACCCAGCACAGGGGGTCGCGGCACAGTGGTGACGTGGCATAGTTGGATCAAGTATAATGATATCTGACAGTGAATAAAATCACTATCATGAAGACAAGTCCAGAGGTCAAATTTTTTTTTTCAAATTAANCACCACGAAGACAAGTCCAGAGGTCAAAATTTTTTTTTTCAAATTAAAGTATATTACATAAGCTTTAATTTAAGATATATATATAAAAGTGTCAGNTAAGATATATATAAAAGTGTCAGATATATATAAAAGTGTCAGACCTTCCGGAACACTTTCAAAAGTTAAGTTGAAAAAGTTGTCATTTTAAATCCCCCCTTGTGAACAGGTTAAGGGTTAAATTTATGAAAAAAATATACCAAACGAAAGGTAATAATATTATGCATCTATATAAAAAAGAATTATATTAATATGATCATTTTTGAAAAAGTTACGGCAGTTTTTAGTAAAAAAAATTGAAAAAATTTCGAAAATTAGCGATTTTTAAATTTGTAATTTTTTTGGAGGTTTCCCCCATTTACGGGGAACGAGGGAAATTTTTTCATTTTTTGAGGGTAATATCTTCGACTAGATACGATTTGTGATCTTTTTGTGATCCGTTCGGTGAGAGCTGAGAAAAAGTGGTAACAGACACAAAAAAAAAAAACACTTCATAGTAAAACCAATACCTTCTCAGCTTTGCATCGAAGCTAAAATAATTTAAAGAGCTTTAAAAATATTAAAAATTTTTTTTTGGAACGTCAAAATTGACTAAGATACAGCCTTTTTATAGGAAAAATATGTATTATTTAATTTTTCCTATATCCAAAATTATTGGGAATGGAAAAATATTTGTGTTTTGTATCCAAAATAAAATTTATTTTTTAATTTTTTTAATCTAAATTTTTTCTTTATTTCTCTAAATATCCATAATATATCGTGTTAAACAATAAATTTTATATTATATGGCAAGTTAACTAACATTATAACTTGTATAATAATAAAGCGAAATTCAAACAATATATCAAATATTGTAAGAAATATAATTTTAATATACTAAATTCAACTTTTCCAATTTATATGTGTTAAAGTTAGGTTCAGTCTTAAATATATAATTGACCATTTAATAAATAATTAAATAAATAACGATATTAAATATAAATGAGTGGTAGGAGGATTTTTTAAGTAAACGAACAAAAAGTAAAAAGAATGCTCTTTGGCTGAGTACTAACTTTTTACGACCAGCGCTTTGCAAAATCAACACTTTATTATCATAAAAATTTTACAGCTGATTGATGTAGTATAATCGATTTAGAATTCTCCGCTACCTTATGATGACGCTACTAAAGGTTTAATGGTAGTTGAACGATGAAAAATAAATTGAAATGAAAGCTTAAATGATTTTTGAACGCACAATTGAGTACTTAAAGTTCAAAAATTTGCTAAAGTTCAAGTAGATAATTTTAAAACGTTATTATTGAAGAAACGTGGGTCAGTTAAATTAGAAAAATATCGAGGAATATCTAGAAAGTGGATGAAAAGTTTTAGCAACTTAAACACAATTATTGGACAAAACTATTAAAGCGGAAAGTAGAACTTCTGGTCTAAATTTTTATACCACCAATAGCATTAGGGAGAGTATTCTTTTTTTTATAAACTACGTAATAATTTCAATTAAAATCTAGAGTAAATATAGCACATTTTCATATGGTAGTTTTGAATAACTTACAATTATAAAACTTTTTTTTATCATTGTTTCTTACTTTTAAAATTTTAATTATTTTTAATAACTTATACTACATTAGTGCTAGCGTAAAATATCTAAATTTGATATCATATTTTTAAATTCTAAAAGAAATAGATTTTTTTTTAATGATATACTTATTAAATATTTATTTAAATATTCCTGGACTATCGCAAATATGTGCGTTATTCACAATAAGTCTTTCCAAATGATTTTTTTTCTGAGAATACCATTTAAATAAATAACTGATAATCAGAGTAATAACGAATATTAAATGGATTTATGAAAACTTAACCATTAATTTTTAATTCATTTTGTATAAATAGTTTATCACCAAAGTTCATAAAATTTTTATTCTTTTATCTATAGTATTTAATCATTAAGCTTACCTTTTTGGGTTTGCTTTTTGTTTAGTATGGGTTAACATATGATATCTGGCAATTTCGGGTGAATATCTTGTTATGTTGAGATCGTGTGCTTTAACTCTAGCCGCCATATCATCATCTTCACCTCCCCAACCCCAAAACATGTTGCTAAAACCGTTAACCAGCTGGAAGTGATTACGGCTCATACCAATGACTCCGCCAAACAAGTCTTTGTACGGCAAACTAATAACAATAAATTAAAAGTAGAATAGTAAATTTTCTATTATAAAATTTAATAAAAAAAATTACCAATATTAAAAAAATAAAATTAATCACTTATTTATTTACAGAATGTTCAGCAAGTAATGAAACAGGTCCATTGTTACAAACGATGAGAACAATAGAAACCCGTTTACTTACTTACTGATGATTTTATGCATGAAAATTCCAAATTATATTTCTGTCATGTTAATTAATTTTTTTCATTCTAGTATTGGCTTTTTTTTTTAATTAAAATTACAATTATGTAATTAGTATGTGTTCTATACATTAGAAAAATTTAAAAAAAATTGTAATATAAATAGTTTAATATAAACACTTCATAAAATACATCATTATTTTATCAATATTTCATGAACAAAATAATAGTAGATATGGATGCATAAATATTAGAAGATTATTCAAGTTTATTGATTGAATAATTATCTATAAACACAAACTACATCAATTTTGCAATATATTTTAGTCAGCGATGTGACTAACTGTTTCTTATTTTTTTCCTTCTAATTTTAAACTTAAAATTCTCACCTCAAAATCAATATCGTTCATGTCTGACAGTAATAAAATATGGAAAATGTATGTATTTTATGAAAAAACATGTTGTATAATCAAAAATATGTTAAAAGAATATATTGCAAATAAAAATGTTCCAAAATTGTAAGTTTATAGCTACAATAAAAATGACAGAATATAAATATGATAAAAAAAACCTCGAGATTCAGAGTACTATTACTAAAAATTTATATTTCACACTGAATTTTTTGCTTTGTCCGTATTATTTCATACAATTCGACTTTCAAATATACATAAGATTTTCTCAATTTATACCATAAACCATACAATTTGTAATTGAAGTCAAGCATTAAACGTTATTTTATTTGTTTCAGTTATTGTTATTTGATAATTATCATACAAGTAAACCACATGAACTACTATTGTAGTTACACTAGTGTGTTATACACATCCTAAAATGATTATAAAATACGAGTTTTTATTTTTAAAATAAAACAATTTAAGATTTCAAAACAATTATAATGACAAATAAGATTATCTTTTGCTTAAACAATAGAATTCAATGACAATCATACATCACACCTCTTTTTATTTATTTTGTTTACGTTTTATTTTAATTTACGTTAGACGTAGTTAATAAAGTAATTTAAACTGAACTTTTTTTTTTTAATAAAAAAATAAATATAATTGATTATATCTAGTTTATAGTTAACTTAAAAATCAATCAAAGTAAAGTTTTTATCCAGTTAAATATTATAACAATAGTTAAATAGTTCCGAGAGTGTTAACTTTGAGTTAAAATTAATACTGTGGTTTTGCTTTATGTTCAACTAAACAGAGTACTCTTTTGAAAAATTAGTCTGTCGACATTAATACTAACTAAGCTATTGAAGCACTAATGTAAACCTCCGTTTTCCAATACTTGGAATAAATTATTCTTTTATCCTTTAAAATAAAAATCCTGATATTTTATTCTTTAAAATAGAACCGTGCAGGAAAAATATTTGATTTATACAAATTAAAATCACTCCCAGTGTATCCATATTATATAAATATCAATGCATATCATAAAATCAGTAGATAATAATATATGTGAAATGAAAATAAAATACTTCATATGAATTCTCCATACTTCTTAAACTCAACGACAAAATACTAATGAAATTTTAAGTTTAAACAGAGTTTAATTTTTCTTTTTTAGCTGCTTGTTATCTTTCAGGATGACTAAAAACTTCTTAAGTTTAATTTGCTTTAGTAATGTACAAGTTCCAGGAAAAAAATTACCCGTGTAGCTTATTACAATTAAGTATGTAAAACATGCTGGGTCTGATTAACCTTAAAAATCAAGACATTAGTCATTTTAATTTCAAATAGTGGAATAAAAAAAATAAAATGTTTGTTAACAATTGAAAAATGCGACAATTTTAATAGAAGTTTTTGAATAAAAAGCATATATTTACCATACTAGAAGAAACATATACGTTTATGTTTATCTTCATTCATTTTCATGAATAAATTAAACCTGTTAATAAATAGATCAGGGGTTAAGATTATCACTGGAATAAATTATTTACACGTAAATGCAAAATTTTAAGATTATTTTTAGTGCACTCAAAAGTTTTATTAAAAATACGAGTACTTTATAGTTTATTCTGACAACAAAATAGAAAATTCACAGTGATTGTTTGATGGCTTTTTTTTGTTTTACAATATGGACATTAAGAACACAGTTTTTTATCATTACATGTATAGAATAAAACCAAGAGTAGTCATCTACAGGCTTAAAACGGTTAAAAGTTTTTTTTTGTACATCAGAAACAGCGCACAAATGTCCGTTTGATTCATTTTGGCGATACCCTCGTCGCATAATCAAACGTTTATCTATAACTCATCTACACTCACCAACTTGTTTAAATAAAAAGTAAATTTTTTCTAAAGTTCTTTTTATTTATTTACAACTAAAAAAACACATTACTTAAATGTATGGATGAACCCAATTAAAAAAAAACTGTTATACAACCATACATACTTGTAATTAAATTTATCAATTGCAACGGACATGTGTCGAGGCTGTTCAGGACAACTATAAATATTTCTGTCATTCTCAGGTATCAGGTCGACATCGTGGAAAAAAAAACAGTCGAACTTTCGCAACTTTAATCCTTCTATGTATCCTATGTTCATTAACATGGCTCGATTAAACACCCCATCGCCTAATATTAAAAAAAAATATCAAATAAACAATAAAAAACAATTTTGTAGTCTGTTTACCTTTGCAGTTATTATATTTATTTTCTTTAGTATAAAATGAAAAAAAAAATGAATTGCTTAGAAGAATTGATACAAAATTCGTATGAAATATTTTACACTTTTTAACACATTAGCTCACGAAAAACATATGTAGTGTTATATTTAATTAATTAATTATTAATAAAAATTACTAAAAACGTACCAAATTGTTCAATAATGATAATAGTATAGTCTAATTGTTGTTTTGTTAAAAATGGATGAATGTTTAGCAGAAATGTACACAAGTTAGACAATCTATCCCTGTATGGCACGATTACAGCAATTTTATGACGAGCATTGCAGGTAATAGGTTCTTGATGGCCACCATCAGTGAGCCTCAGCCAAGATAATTGTTGTGATATTTCATTTAAAGTATCATGAGTCGGCACAACCAGCGGAACTGTTCCATCTAAAAGTAATATATTATTACTTAATACAAGAAAGTAATACAAATATTTGTATAAACGAACTATATTTATGTCGACTATTAAGATAATAAAAACTATAAGATCCATTAAAACATTTATTTTTGTTAAAATTAATTAAAATATCATATCGAGGAAAATTTAAATGTAATTAACTTATGTAATACACAATATTTATAATATTACACAGGAACATTTTTAATAAGTCCAAAAATATTTAATGAAGTGGCGATTTCATCTGAACTATTTTTAAATTGATTAAAATTAATAAATATATATATATATATTAAGCAACTGCATTATATTAAGTGTAATATAATTAAATATAATAAATCTTGATCATAATAATTTCAAAAACATCATACACAATTTATTTTCTGTCATGTGCTATGTAACAGTTTTTCTAATTTTCTTTTCTTAAATTTATTTGTATTTTTGAAGATAATTTTTATTAGTATTTATATAGACTTTTTTTTCCTCGCCTTAACCCCAACTATTTGGGATCGGTCAATAACGATTTATACAGTATTTAACAAAAATTAGTAGCAAACTTTTAATTATTTAGTTATATTCAATATAAAACTTTGCTGTTGAATATAACATTATTTGTACATCTTTTTAAATAACAATTTTTTCAATGTGTAAGGGCCATTGAGGGCAATTAGTACCTCTCCTAAAAGGATGTAACCATGTATTCTTTGGGATAGATGGTTAGTACATCGTCATAGAGAAGGATTTTAATTCCGTTTACATTTTAATAAAAAAAGTAAAGTAAATTAATCATTTAAAAATCAATTTTTTATCTTTCTCACATAAAGCAATACTTAGTACAAATTTAAATACATTATCTATAAATTATATATGATTTAACAGCTAATAAATAATTAAAACACATTTATAATCTATTTGAGAATATCAATATTCTTTAGCTAGGAAGTTAGGATAATATGCGACTTAAAAATAAAAAAAAATTCAAATATAATGTAAATATTTAAAAATAAGGGAGGATTAAACTCTTTTTTTCTGTCGAAAAGTTTCTGAATATACTTAGTAAATTTCTCAAAGAAATTTTTTTGTTATGTCAGATTAGAATCTTGAGCAGAATTATGAATGTCCATATAGGGGTTACGAGGAATAAAACCACCAATAATGAAAACGCATATATGATAAAAATATATTTAGGAGGTAATAAAAGAAATTTTTATATAATTCCGCTCAAAAAACTCTAAGTGTTTTTTTGAGTATAATTAAAATAACTTTTTTTAATGAAGCTGGTAAATGTATTTGCCACCACTATAAAAATTGTTTGATGTCAATATAAATAATATTTTTAATTTTTAAGAGATTAATCCATCTAAATTATAAAAATGAACAAATGATTAGATACCAAAATTTAATATTAAAAATATATAAAACTGTTATAATTAAGTATCAATTTTAGGTATTCAATTCGGATTAACAAATAACAAACAAATATGCCTTATAAGTTACAATTCTTAATTTATTTTAATCAAACTTCTGAACACATTGTTGCTTTGTAATCAATTAAGTTAGAGAAGTTTTGATTCTGTTAAACTTTGAATAAACTCATTTAGTGTATAATTTATTACAGATCAAAACAATTACACAGTAAAATCTTCGTTCATTAATTACATTAATTTGTATATACAGCTTTACCGCTGTACTATGTAAAATCAATGATAATATTAAGTATTTATAAAAGATAATTAAAATACAATTGCGTAACGTCTATTGATACTGAATATTCTTATTTTCTTTTAAATTATCATTACTATTGCTATTTAAATACATTTAGTACGAAATAAACAAAGATTTCATAACCACAATTATTTATGTGATGAATGAATATACTCAAGAGAATTTCTTAGTAACGGGAATATTAATCCTTTAGTAAAATACTAAAGAATATATTTTTAAACATATAATTAATAATTACTTTGTGAATATTTAATCAAACTCAAAAATCGTTTGAAGTATTGAATGTTTATTGAAAATGTTTTATGGAAATAAATCATATTTTACTTAATTAATAGTGGCTTGATAACAAAAATGTTAAAAATTCTTTAAGAAAACATAATTGTTGTTCATAGACTAAAAAGTAACTCTTGAAAAAAATAATGGTTTGATGTAGATGAATTTTAAAGATTTTCAGTCAAGAAAAAATTCTATATAATTTCCGAGAAAGTGGAGTGAAGTTGGCCGCCAAGATTATACTTGACTGTTTCTCAATTTGATTTAAAACGTTTGTAAATTAAAAAAATAAAAATGGATATTTGGTTAACTTTAATTTGAAGTAAGCTATATCTCCAATTTCGTTTAAATTTCTTATTTAATACTTAAGAGATAAATTTGGAAGCAAATTACGATTTACTTATAAAACTTCAATCAAATTTCATTATAATGATTTTTATTCTCTGAATTGTGTCATAATTTTGGCTAAACATTATCAAAACTTAGCTGTCAACATTGAAATATATTAACATCATAAAATATACAGACGTTTAGTGTGTCGCCCACTTCATACCTACATAGTTGTTATATTTTACAAATGGTAGCTAATACTTAAATTAAGGCAACATGGCGGCCATACAGTATTTTTATTATACTCTCAAATGATTGTATTGAAACTCAAATGATTGCATACTAATATGGACGCAATACATTTACCATTATTTAATGTGTGTTTGACATAAAGAAAAAAAAATCGTATTTTCATCATTTACAGGAACTTTCAACAGCAATATTACTATCGTAACAAGTTACACCAACCATTTGTCATTAGAGTTCATCCTAAATTTCCATAAAACGTGTTTAAGTTTCAAACAATAATATTAATTTTATTTTGTATACATTGAACTATATTTATTAAATAATTAAGTATTATATTATTTAATAATTTAATTTAAAAATAATATATTTTATTTTAAGATCTAGCCAAATTTAAATGCATGTTGTATGAATTATACATATAAGGGTTATATAGAAAGATTCCAAGACTTTTATACCTTATATAACCTTAGTTAAAAAATGTATACGAAAAAGTATAAAATATACGAAAATAAGGGTGAAATGAGATAAATATAAACAAATGGGGTAATTGTAAATTAAATTTTTTCTCTTAGAATGTATAGGAGATTTTATTTTAGATTGAATAGTTCTGGTCCTTATATATATATATATTACTATCAATTATTAATTGTTAGTTCAAAAACAAAACTTGAGAACTTATCTTAAAATATGCAATTGCAAATACCACCTTCACCTTACATAAAATTTCAAAATGTTCTTACGCATACTTTTGTGGCAATTTTTCAATTAAGAAAGGTGTTAAAGAAAATATAGTGGTGTTAAAACAAGCAGTATTTGCAATTTAATTAAAACGCATGTTTTATTCAGGTATTATAAAGTTTAATGACAAAGTTTTAGATCGATTTATCTTATAGAATTATTTGATATTGGTATCAAACAATCTTAATCAAGTTTAAACATGATGGTATTTATGTTAAACAGGAGAAATTTCGTCAAAATAATGTTATTAGTCGTAAGTAGAGATTTTCATGTATGTAACTCAATTTCATACTTTTAAATAAGTCTAATTTATTAAACTATTTTTTGATGCCGTCTAAGTTAACAGTATTTAATGAGATCTTTTTTGAGTCAATATTCATTAAAAATATCCTTATTTGTTCATTTATTTATTTGACTTATATATTTAATAAATTACAAACAGTTCTAATTTTAGCTTCGATGCGAAGCTGAGAAGGTATTGGTTTTACTATGAAGTGTTTTTTTTTTTTTGTGTCTGTTACCACTTTTTCTCAGCTCTCACCGAACGGATCACAAAAAGATCACAAATCGTATCTAGTCGAAGATATTACCCTCAAAAAATGAAAAAATTTCCCTCGTTCCCCGTAAATGGGGGAAACCTCCAAATCGCTAATTTTCGAAATTTTTTTACTAAAAACTGCCGTAACTTTTAGCTTCGATGCGAAGCTGAGAAGGTATTGGTTTTACTAAGATGTGTTTTTTTTTTTTTTTTGTGT